TATACTTTTTCCCATTGTTGTTTGTTGTTGTTATGTTTTTTAACTATAATTTCTCTATTTATTTTTTTTCGGGCAATATTCTGAATATTCCGGTGAGTTTCCGATGATGTTCTTGACATTTTCCAGTGACGTTCAGAACACTCCGGCAAACTTTCGGTGATGCTCTGGCGACTTCCTGGTGATATTAAATATTCCAGCGAGTTTTCCGTGAGTCTGACGGAAGTCATTGGATGTAGCAGCATTTTTAAAGTTATAAAAAATAAAAAATAAAAAGTTTTTGGTAGCAATTAAAAATATGTAGGACTAATTGGTGCAAGTATTTTGTTTTGGGATTAGATGGACTATGAACTTTGTGTATGAGACTTATTGATAAGTGCCTCGTGTATTATTAATGAAAAAAATTAGTTAGATGTAATTTGTTGACAATTCCGGGTGTGAAATCAAAGAATTTGAGAAAGTGGGGAGAAGGGTGTTGCAGGTGTCGCTAGCTTAAAACAACACAACTCTACAGAGAGTCAAACGCCTTCCCGCCCACGCCAACCCCCTCACCGTCAAAAATAAAAATAAAATAATTTCATTTGATTCCCTTAATCATGGTCATTTTTTCATTTATTTATTTTTTTATAAAAAATTAAAAAATCAATCTAAACATATTAATAAGTAAATTACATTTTTAGACTGATTTTTAAAATGATTTAAATATACCGTTCGTGGCTGTTTGTTTTGTTGTTGGTGTCTCTACTCTCTCGCCATAAGTTTCTGTTTTTTCTTCGCTCCCTTCCCTCATATATAAAAGCCGACCTTCGTTCTCTTTTATTGAGAGAGAGAGAGAGAGGGAGGGAGGGAGAGAAGCCGAAGAAGAAAGCTAGAGAGAGAAAAAAACGAAAGACATATATATATGAATGAAAGCGTTGTGTTCCTCCACAGCCAAAACTCTCTGAAGAAGATTGAGAAGAAGAAATGTTTGAGAGAAAGAAGAGGACAAGGACTTGTTCCCATGAAAGATCTGATCTCTTCGATTCCTTACCCGACGATATCGTCATCTCCATCCTCTGCAAGCTCAGTGCTTCCTCTCGCTCCCCGTCCGATTTCATCACTATCTTCCTCACATGCAAAAGGCTGAACCAGCTAGGTCTCAATCCTCTGGTTCTGTCAAAAGGCCTGTTTCGTTGTTGGTGGTTTTGCAACCCCTGGGTGACGTTTTTGCGCGCCCCGTAACCGTCTTGGAGGCAGTGCCCAAGCTCGCGGAGCGCATCGACGTGGCCGAGGTAGGCGGCGCGTGCGCAGAGCGCGACTCCGGCGCGGAGGTCCTTGTCGGTTTTCGAACCACCGCTGCCGTTGAACTGAATCACGGCAAGGGAGTACCGCGACGGCGCGTGAGACCTAATCGCCGCCTTTGCCATCAAAGACGCTCCGATTTTACTGTCTACAAAACCGAGGAAGCGGAGCGTCTTTGATGGCAAAGGCGGCGATTAGGTCTCACGCGCCGTCGCGGTACTCCCTTGCCGTGATTCAGTTCAACGGCAGCGGTGGTTCGAAAACCGACAAGGACCTCCGCGCCGGAGTCGCGCTCTGCGCACGCGCCGCCTACCTCGGCCACGTCGATGCGCTCCGCGAGCTTGGGCACTGCCTCCAAGACGGTTACGGGGCGCGCAAAAACGTCACCCAGGGGTTGCAAAACCACCAACAACGAAACAGGCCTTTTGACAGAACCAGAGGATTGAGACCTAGCTGGTTCAGCCTTTTGCATGTGAGGAAGATAGTGATGAAATCGGACGGGGAGCGAGAGGAAGCACTGAGCTTGCAGAGGATGGAGATGACGATATCGTCGGGGGTTGGAATGGACTATTCAGCAACCAGCAAGCTTGCCCTCCAATGGACATTTGATAATCTGATCGAAGCTGGCGATCTCGTTGTTGTCATCGATGTCCTCTCCCCCAAATCCGATCCGACCAATAAGCAGCTCTTTGAGGACACTGGATCACCTTTGATACCTCTGGAAGAATTCAGAGAGATTAATGTGTGCAAGAAATATGGACTCACTCCTGATGCAGAAGTTCTGGATATACTTCATACCATGTCAAAGACCAAAGGGGTATATTAATTTATGCTATTATTTAAGTAATTTCATCTCCATCTATATATCATCATCTATGTGTGTGCATGCATATATAAATATATGTAGAATATTGCTATTGTGGGTAATGGGTAATGATGATGATGATGGTGGTGGAGCAGGCAAAGGCTGTGGCAAAGGTGTACTGGGGGGACCCAAGAGAGAAGCTGTGTGATTCTGTGGAAAATCTCAAGCTTGATTCCATTGTTGTTGGCAGCAGAGGCTTAGGTGCCATTAAAAGGTCAGAGCCTAATCTCATCCTCCTCCGTCCTACCCGACATTACTTTTTTTCTTTTTTAACAAAATTGAGTAAATTTTTTTATTTTTACTTCCATGAAGTCAAATGATTTTAAAATTTGAAAAATTTTCTGTATCCCAGTCCTCAGAAAAAAGGATAATTTTAAAGAAAAAATCAACTCAAAATAAAATAAAATAAAGATAAATTACAGATACATTCCTGAGGTTGGCTTTCCAGGCATTTGTTGGATGACTTTGCCTCTTGGATAACTTTGTTTAGTGGGTGGATTAGTGGATTGAGATGTGAGGTGTCGGATGAGAACAATGAGCGGATTTAAATAATCGTTGACCTTTTGACGGTTTCATATCTTGGAAGACTTTAATATCTATTAACTCTCTAATTTGTCACTTTATGTGACCCCATTTTTCGAATGACTTCGCCTTTTGAATAACTTTGTTTAGTGGGTGGATTAGTGGATTGAGATGTGAGGTGTCACATGCCCTCTGACGGTCTCATACCTTGGGGACTTTAATATTCATTAATCCTCTGATTTGTCATTTTATGTGACCCTTTGTTTTGTTCTGTTGTCACCTTAATATCTATTCTTAATTTCTTTAACTGGTTTTGTTATATTACCAGAGAACACCACTATGCATACAAAACAAATCCACTGTGAGTCGATTGCGATTAAAATACGAATTGTCTCATATGATTTTGGAAATTATATTCTACTCCTTGAAATTTTTAATTTCATAACAAATCGCCTATTTTATTAATAAATTATTAAGTCAATTAATAATTTTTAATAATATTATAAATATATTTTAATTAATAATTTAGATAATTTTATTATTATATAAGAGTGCGATTAAGAATTTCATTTTTTTAGTTAATTCTGTTAAATAAAAAATTTTAACAATGGGGTATTTATAATTTTTTAAATCACAGAGGGTAATTTATATTTTAAACAAATTTTAGAAGGTATATTTGTAATTTATTCTAAAAATTAATAAGCCAATTCGAGTGATTTTTTCACAAAATTGGATTTTTTGTCTTTATCAGAATTTTTTTAATTTCGATTTTAAAAAAATAGTGTTGCGTAATCTAAATGGGTTAGTAATCTTAGCAGTAGGAGTATATTTTTAACGGTTAAAAATGCTTAAAAATAAAACAAAAATTCAAACATAAATGTGTCATAGCAAGGAAGGGGTGTGCAACAAACCGATTCACCCGATGTAGCCGACCAATCCGACTGGAAAAATGATGCGGAATGGTTTTGTCAGACAATTCGGTCGGCTACGGATAGCAATTGCAAATTGTTTTTGCAAACTTTTTACAAAGAAAAATGGCTAAGAATCCCAGTGGGCTTCACTAGGGTCGCCCCTGATTGGTTCAAAATATTTTTTTTTTTTTTTTTTTTAGGACTTCAGTCATTGGCAGTGTGTCATGTGGCATTGGGAGTGCTGGGGTATCCAGTCACTGGAGGTCTCTAGCATTGTTGTTTTACAAAATATTATCAAACTAATTAAATACATTAAATTTTATAGGTGACATACTCTCGTTTGTTTTCTATTACATTTATCTTTTTCTCAAACAGAAAAACGATTAGGAGTTCTAATGAGTTTTAATAGGAGTGGATTCTACTATAATGTGATATTTTGATCTTGATTTTATTTATTTTTATTTTTTTATTTCCTGTCACATCATTAGAATTCAATTGAAATTACAAAATTAGAGATGTATCATTACTCCTCAAAAATTCATCTACAAATTATGTCTGGAAAACATTAAAATTCATTAATAAGCATGTGAGTCTTTAAAAACAAAAAAGTCATTATTATATTTGATAGGAAAACAGCAACCTAATGCTTGTCTCAAAGCCTGAAATTCTTTTTTGGGTAAATTACATAGATGATTTATGTTTATTGCAGTTCTCCTCTCACCTTTTGAAAATTACATCTCTCTTTTTGAAGTTTAAAGTTTCATTACAGATTGTTTCATAAAATTTAAAGTTTCATAACAGTTCCCCCTCACTGTAATGATCATCATACATAAAATTAAATTAACAAGGGATTAGTGTAATTTTCCAAATGTGAGAGAGGTAACTGTAATAAACATAAACCTCAGAGGGTGTCAGTGTAATTTACCCTTCTTTTTTTAATTGATGAAGATTACAATATCTTTATTTTTTTATTCTGAAGCTTTTCTCACCCCTTAGCCTGCCCTTTAATATTCTATCTCTCTCTCTCTCTCTCTCTCTCTCAATTTTCAAATCTTTCTTTCATTTGGCATTAATTTTTTTAACTGATTTTTTTTGGTGTTGAAATATTTTTAGCCTGATTTGGTTTAGTTTTTTTGAATTTTGTAAGAAAAAAATATAATGATTATGATTTGAATGCGATATTTTATTTTATTGACTATGTAATTAATTTTGTCTTTTTATATTTTTTTAGCCAAAAATCTAAAACCAAACAAAACTATAAACTTTCACCTCTGACATCCCATATCTCTCCTATTTTCTTCTTATTTCTAGATCCCTCCCTTAAACCTCTTTTGAAAAGCCAGTTAAAAGTTAAAAATTAATTTTTAATTCATTTTAGATCATATTATTTTTCACATTTTTTTATATATTTTTGCAAAAAATGTCAAAATAATAAAAAAAATCAACTTTTAATTATCTTCTCAAAATATTCCTTAATATTCCTCAACACCTCACCTCTGAAACACCCTTCTCTCTGATTAGAGGGTTATTGTAATAGTTATTTTGCAGTGGGTGACAACAAAAGTTGCTTTGGTCAGAAATCGATGGTGAACAAATAAACCCAATAAATCTCTCTTCCATTTTTTTTTTCCTTCAGTCAAATTTGTGCATATGGATTAGGATTTGAAGAGTAAAGTGTAAGCCACCGGTTTTGTTTCTTCCCAACCGAAATCCGGCCGCCAAAGTTGATTTCGAAGGGAGTGGTTTCAAACGATAGCACGGTTGGAATCGGACCAAGAAAAGTGTAACCCAACAGAGTCGGTTCGAGTAATGGGTCAATGCCAAATCCGAATTTGACTCGACCCTTGTCCAATAGTTCAATTTTTCATTACATGACATGTTTTGGTGGCAAGAAAAGAAAAGATTAGCCTTAATAATCAAAGAGTCAAAATAATTGTTGCCAAGTGTTATTGATAATGTATTTGTACATCATTCATTGATTGAGATAACTTACTATCATACATATTCAACAGTTCAATTTTCATTACATGACATGCTTTGGTGGCAAGAAAGAAAAGATTAGCCTTAACTTAATAATCAAAGAGTCAAAATAATTGTTACCAAGTGTTATTGATAATGTATTTGTACATCATTCATTGATTGAGATAACTTAATATCATACATATTTATTTATTTACAGGGTGTTCCTTGGCAGTGTGAGCAACCACGTGGTGCAAAATGCTACATGCCCAGTCACAGTTGTGAAGGGGCCACCATTGCCCAAGCCTTAGTTTTCTGCTCTCTTATTCTTTCCCTCAATATATCCAAATGAAGGTTGCTATTAGATCTATTGTAGTGGCCTATAGTAGATCAATATGAAGTCTGAGTGATTGTTGTGTGACTTCCATGTTAGAATGTGGAAAGGAAAAGGGTAAACTACTTATTATGATAAATATCGTTTTCCTTTTTCATTTATGTGAGAAAAATAAATTGGTAATTAAAGAAAATGAAGCATTCTCTTGTGGAAAAAGGTTATTGGAGTATAGTATCTGCATAAATGTTGCGTGTCTCTTTTTGTTTTAGAAAGTATTTTATGTAATAGTATGCCACATAATTGAGATGATGTGGTGTTACCTTCTACTTATTAATTGACATATAATAAAAAGTAATACCAAGATTTTATATGACGCAATATCTCAAACCGAGCAAAAGTGACTAACAATCTATTCTCCTTTCAAACAAAATATAAAAAATAAAATAAAAAATATTATGATTGGAGTTTTATGAAAAAGGTACAAAGGCCTATTATTGGATTTGAATTAATAACTTTCGCCTCGGTATTACTCTACCATTGAGTAAACATGCCTATTTAATTTAATTCTTGAATGAATGTCTACATAGATAAAATAAAAATACAAGAAGTTGCACATTATTTTAACTGTTTGCATTTTCATACTGACCAATTAGATATTCTCAGTGTATGTTGATTTACAATACCTATTTTACAGATGTCTCATCAAAGACCTTTGGTTAGGCAGTGTTGGATTTTAGGGGTTCTCCGAACTGGGTATGTGTGAAAACATCGTATGTGAAAACATGATAAAATTAGACAATGTATTGAGCCCACTGTAAACTATTTCAAGATAAAATGAGTCGATTATTTAGAAGTAATTCTTCGGTTAGTTCTAGGTCAACAACTTTGCCTTCTATACCTAATCAAGGTTTAGTAATCAATGAAGAAGATGTAGAAATACAAAATGATAAAATTGATTTAAGTTGGAATATTCCACGTTTACCAATCAAAGAAATTTATAAAACTATTTTATACAAAATACATTTAATGTTAATCTTCATATTAAAACTTTAGAACAAGTATATACTTTAGAAAAACCTAGAGAAACAAATCAATTATTTGATGCTAATACTATTAAACGTCATTTAAAAACTGGTCACAATTTTATTCATTTAGGATTAATTCAGGTTAGAATCAAACAATTAACACAACAAGGTAAAAATACTTCTGTTTTACTATGCTTAAGAGATGCTCGTTTTCTTGATTATAATGATAGCTTAATGGGTATGATGGAAACTAGTCTTCACAAAGGACTTGTCCATTGTAATTGTTTTCCTGATTTCACTCTTAGTCTTAGAGACCCCCATATATTAGATGGTTTAACTCTAAATATTTAATTACATGGCTCATTTACAAATATGAAAGAAAAGGTTCATAATATTGCTTTAATTTATCGTGTTTATTACAAATGTATTAAAACCAATTTGAATGTTCAAGCTTTACATAAAAGTCCTAAAGACAAAACCTTACTAATCCAAAGTAGTAATAATGATACTAATATAAATATTCCTCAAATGATTGAATGAAAAAATATTACTCTCCTCGACCAATAGATTACAGTTAATGAAAATTATAAACATAATCAACAACAATCTACTTGTTAAGATATTCAAGATATTCAAAAATTTATTGATGGATCTGTTAGGATTAAATTTAATCGATCTCAATCTTCTCGTCATAGTACTTCTAGTATACCTACTGATGTTGAAACTGAAGATGAAATATTTAATACACCTTTATTCAGAAAAAATAGTCAAATTCATCTTGGTCAAAATTCCCATAGTAAAATGAAAGGAATTGATAATTCAACAGCTTCCCAAATTAGTAAACCTGTTTATTCTACTCACACACATCTACATGAAGATGATACTGAGTCTCAAGACTCTCCAACTCAAACTGATTTCGAAGTCATACCTCTAATAAATCCTCAATTAATGGCTATTAGTAGACTTTTTACTCCTGATCTGGATAAATTACATATTGAATTTAAATCTAAAGATAATAGGACTAAACGTTATGCATATCGTACCAAATATGATTTGGCTCAACAATCTAAAATTACTCGTCAATGATACAAATTTATGATTGAACATAAAATTGAAATTCCTTTCTTTGAATATTTAGAAGACCATTATAAAAAAGTTCAAACCATTACAAAACATAAATGGAAAACTTCTCCTACTAATATTATTAGTTCTAGCCATCCTCCTTTATCTACTATAATTATTGATCATCACGGCTCCGAAGTCCCAGTCTCTCCTTTTAAGTTTCCTGGCATTGACCCTGAAATCAAAAAAGTTATTGAACAAAATAATTATACTAATCAATGTCTAAAAAGAATTGGTAAACAATTAGATAAAATAGAAACCAATTTAGATGATTATTCGGCTAACAATACATCTACTAAACAATCTTTAGACCAACCATTGTTTAATTTACCTAGTAACCGTTCTAAACGTAACAGTTTAGTCACCCAAGATAATTCTACTGTCAAAGCCATTAAACAATTATTTATTAAATTAACTACTTCTGAAAAAGTTTCTCTATCTACTGAGAAAGGTCTTATTGTATTAAACCAACATTCTACTCTTGAATTTGTTTCTACTCATTCAGACCCTGACACAACTGATAATGAAATTAATACTTTAGCTCAACAATTTCAATCAACTACTTTGAATAAACTTCATTATCCTAAACCTAATCCTACAACGCTCACAAAAAATTGGTATTCAAGACCTACTCCCCCTGATCTCCAATATGAAGAAACTAATCTTAGTAATTAATTTTCTGTATCTGCTAAAAAATTATACGAATGGAATATTGATGGTCTCAGTGAAGATCAAATACTTCAAAAATTAAATCATTTATCTATGGTTGCAAATAGTTATCTTAGTAACTACCCTGATTATACTCAACCTGAAATTGTTTCCTTAATTACTTCTGGCTTTACTGGTATACTTAAATCTTGGTGGGAAAAATATCTACCTGAAGATCAAAGAGAATCTATTTTACATGCAAGTCAAAAAGATGAAAATGATTTACCTATCTTTGATGAAACTATTGGCTATTATAAACCTGATGGTATAAATACATTAATCTACACCATAGTTCGCTATTTTATAGGAACACTTACTAATATCTATTCTTGCATACATGATCAACTTAGTAATTTCACTTGTCCAACCTTAAGTGATTTTCGATGGTATAAAGATGTTTTTACCTCTAGAGTTATATTAAGAGAAGATTGTACTAAATCTTTTTGGAAAGAAAAATTCATTAATGGCTTACCTAGTCTTTTTGCTCATAAAATTAAAGATGTTCTTAGTCAACCTATAGGTGTTATTGAATATGATAATTTAACTTATGGTGACATTATTAGTACTATTTAAAAAGAAGGCCTACGAATGTGTATTGACTTAAAACTTAGTCAAAAAGCAGCTAAAGATAAACATAAGGCTAAATACGAATTAGGTAATTTCTGTGAACAATATGGCTTACCTCTTGTTGCCCCTTCTCATCGTAAAAAACATAAGTACCATAAACATAAATCATCTTACAAATATTCTCATAAGTATAAAAAGAATTATTCACCTTCAAAATCCAATGATAAATTCTATACTAATACCCAAAAAGAAATATTATAAAAAATCTCATCTAAAATCTAAATCTAATAAAGATATTACTTGTTATAACTGTGGTAAAAAAGGTCATTATTCTAATAAATGTAAAGAAAAACAAAAATTGAAAGATAAAGTTAATCAACTCCAAATTAATGATGAATCCAAACATCAATTATTTGAAATCTTCCAATTAAACCAATCTGATAATAATTCTTTTTCTGATAATCCTAATACCTCATCTGAATACCATTCACCTAGTGATGATTTTGCTAATAACATTGAATTAGAATGTAATGATATTTGTTGCAAACTAGTTAAACAAATCACTGTCCTTACTAAACAAAATCAAGAAAAAACTATTCTTATTGAATTAATTGGTGGATTAGAAGATCCCCAGTTAAAACAAAAGTATACTGACAAATTAAAATCTTTACTTACTAACAGTGATCATAAACCAAAGCATGATAAACCCATTATTAGCTTATCTAAAACTTTAGAAAGATTTAAAAATAAACAAAAAGAAGTTACATTACATGATTTACAATGTGAAATTAATTAAATTAAACAAACTATTAAAGATTTACAAAGTAAAGATAGAGATTTAGAAGATGAAATTATTACATTAAAACTTAATCAAAGTTTAGATAATTTCCAAGAAAAAGATGATAAAACTCTCGATGAATCTGAACATACTAACTCGGATAATCTTTTGTTTGATAATAGATCACATCAATCCCATAATCTTGAATCTAATAGATTAAATCTTATCAATAAAATCCATATTCAAAAATGGTATTCAAAAGTCAAATTAATTATTAATGATTTTGAATTAAATATTATTGCCTAATTGATACTGGTGCTGATCTTAATCGTATTCAAGAAGGCTTACTCTCTACAAAATATTATGAGAAAACTAGTGAACAGTTAACTTCTGCTAATGGTAGTAAAATGTATAGTAAATATAAATTACCTAAAGTTCATATATGTCAAGATAATGTTTGTTTTAAAACATCATTTGTTTTAGTCAGAAATATGACTGATAAAGTATTTTAGGCACAGCATTTATATTTTTACTCTATCCCTTTACAACCTCTAGTGAAGGAATAACTACTCATGTTTTAGGTCAACCTGTTACTTTTAAATTCTTATCTCCTCATGAAATGTTAGAATTAAATCAATTAAAAGATTATTCTATTTCTCACACTATTAATTGATTAACTCGTCAGTTATGTTTTCTTAAAGAAGAAGTCAATTATAAAAGAATTGAACAACAATTAACTGATGCTGTTATTATATCTCAAATTGAAGAATTTAAATTTAAATTAAAAATAATTGTTTGTTCTACTTTACCCACTGCCTTCTGGTATAGGAAAAAACATGTAGATACATTACCATATATTAAAAATTTTAATGAACGACAAATCCTTACTAAATCCCGACCTATTCAAATGAATCATGAATTAGTTGAAATGTGCAAAAAAGAAATCAATGAATTATTAAAAAATAGAATTATTAGTTCTAGTAAATCACTATGGTCTTGTCCTGCTTTTTATGTAAATAAAAATGCTGAACTAGAACGAGGTGTCTCTCGCTTAGTTATTAATTATAAACCATTAAATAAAGTTT